ATATAACTATTTCATCAAACAAGCATTTATTTTTTGATAATTATTTTCACTTTTTAACTCTAACATTTATTCTTCTAAATGATATGTTCTCTTCTTTTAATATTAAATTCTCTCTTGTCAAACATTTATTGGCATCCTTAAACTTATACGTCATTTTTTTTACATGTTCATCCTTAATTGGCCTATTATACAAAAAAAAAAAAAAACAACACCAATTAACTTACAAATATCAAACAGTAGCACCAAGCACTAATTTATTTCATATTTAAGTTCAAATAACCAAAATTTCATAACCGAGATCTCAATCAAGTTCAATATAATAAATTTATAACTATATTTGATAATCAAGTTCAATACAAAAAATCACTAATACTTGGTAATTGTTACATCTAAAGAATTTTCTTTCAAGATTCTCATTGCTTGTTAAAATAACTAGAAGATTTGTTTTTTACACAATAACAATACATTATGTCACCTCTTTAATAATAAGTGCACATTATTTATTCTTAACATATAAATCACTTTAAATTACTTGACAATAATAGGAAAGAGTTAGAATTAGTTTCACATTATAGGATACAACAAATTGTATGAATTTATAGGATACAAAATAATGTGGATTAGTTTCACAATAGTCTAAATTTGTTTTACATTACCCTAAACCTTTAATTTATAATAACCATTCTAGTCTTTTTAACTTTTATAATATGGTTCAACTTTAATACAACAACATCAATAAACTAAATCTTATATCCCATAACTTTAAGGTTGGTTGTATGAAAAACCTAAAAGGAATCATGTTAGGTTATAGTTTTGAATTTTTTTTACATCACTTCATTTTTATAAAAAATAATATTTTCATCTACATTTTTAATCCTCATATAATTTAATATTACTTACATCCATGTCTTTCTTAGTCTATTTCTAGACGTTTTGGTTTCTTCTAAATCGAGAAACTCATTTCTCTTAATTGGTGCACAAATAAATCTATGTTTCACATGTCCAAATCATCTTAAACGACCCTTTCTCATTTTTTTCCTTAATTCAGATCACCTTTAATTTTTCTTGAATCTCTTAATTTCTAATTTTATTTCTTCTAGTCTTACCACATATTCATTTAAACACCCTCATCTTAGCTATACTCATTTTCTTCTGATGTTATTTTTTAATGACCCAACACTTAGTTTTATATAATAACACAGGTTTTACAATTATTTTATACAACTTCGCTTTTAGCTTTAAAGATATATTACGATTACACAATATGTTTAACACACTTCACCACCTTATCCTTCATGTTTGAATCCTATGACTTACATCTATTTCTATCTTAGCATCGCTTTAAATAATTGATTCCAAATATAAAAAATCACTACTCTTTGGTAATATTCCACCATTCAACTTAATTACACTAGCACTTGCTTCCCTATGATTACTAATCAAATTCAAAATAGCCTAAAAATCAAATGTAATAACCAAAATTACTTAATTGTTTGTTAACATAATTGAAAAATCATATTCCAATATCAATAAATATAAACTTAACAAAATAATTCACCTCTTTCAAATATTTCCATGCCACCCCTTTCTCTCATTTTCTATCTTTTGATCCTTAAATCCCAAAGTTAATCCCAACTCCTTCAACCTTAAAACCCATGAACAATCCAGAATTATTCAATGATTTTGATTTTGAACTTTATTATCAAATTCGGTTAATGTAGATTTGGAATTAGAAATACATTACCAAACTGATTTTTATTTGAAAAAATCAAGATTTAAGATGATTTGGGGAAAACAAATAAAATAGGTAAGGGTTTCTTTTTCAATTTGAGGATCGAGTTTAATTTAAAAGAAATTATTTTTTTTATTTTTTAAAATTTAGTTAGAAAAAATAATCCACATGGCGTCTAAAAATTCACGTTATGATAGTGTTTTTAATCTTAACTATCTAATTTGACATGTCATCATGGTTAACACCATGATAATATGGTCAATGGTCATGTCATCAAAATTAATGAAAATCATTTAAAAGTGTTATCAATTGGACAATATTATTAAATTAAACTAGTAAAGGGATTAAATTTAAAAAAAATTATAGTATAGGAACTAAATTTTAAATTTTGTAATAGTATAAGGACTAAATTCATAATTTGACCTAAAAAATTCTTACGTGAGTGCATTAAAAATTTTAAAAAATAATAATAAATAAAAAAATTGAAGGTGATAAGATGATAAAATATAAGTTGTTTTTAAACGTGAGAAGTGTTTTGTATCTTTTATAAGATCACCATAATAATGTAATCATTAAGATGATCTTATTGTCAAGGTAATTTTTTTATTCGTAATTTGAAATTATTTTATTTGGTTAATAATTATTAATTTTTAGAAATTAAAGATTATTGTGTTTGGTATTCTTAAAAATCAAATATTATTTTGTTTAAAAGTACAAAAATAACCATGCATAATGTAATAATTACACAAGTTAATAATTTTAATATTATTTAAAAAAATAACTTATAAAAAAATAGTAATATTTTATTTATTTTATAATAAAATATAATTAAATTAATAAATATATTAATTTACTAGATAAATTAATTTTTATAATATAAATTACAAAAAATTTTGAATTAGAAAATAAAGCCAATTTATTAAATTCATAATAAAATAAAAACAAAAACTTATATTATACAAAATATTAAAAAAATAAAAAAAATCACAATTTATTTTTGAATTTGTTACATTGAATATTAATTTAAAAATATAAAAATTTATAATATAAAATAATTACAATTTTAAAAATAAACAAGTTTTTAATTTACATAATAAATTAATACTATTGATTATTATTAATTTTACATATCACTTCACTTGAATTATAAAGGTTTTTCATATTTTTATATGAGAATTAAACCATATCTAAGACAGTGACCAAATTACTCTTGGTTATTTTAAATCACCGCTACATAAAATCATTGAGTACTTACTAAACTCAATAATTTAATCACTTCCTCGAGCTAAAAGGATATTTTTGTAATTTATCTTATTTTACTATATATTTTTGTAATACTATTTAATTTGTAATTCTAAAAGTTGTACGGCTAATAAACAGTGTGTATTTCTTTGATTAATTTCTTTTTTTTTTTTTTTTTTTTTACATTATTTGATCATACTATGAAAAGCGTTTTTAATCTAATAGGCTAAGATTTATTGTTTGAGTTCTGACCATATTTGTGTTTTAATACTTATTATTGTTATTCCTGTCAAAGGTATCAGGGTTAATGTGTAATTTTTTAATTATATAATTTTTCATAATTCAATACTTATAAAAAATTTTTAAAATTAGGTATTTAAAATTTGTTTTATCAAATATTTTACCTCACACACTAATTCTATTAATGATAAGTTGATTTAGAAAAAAACTAATAATATTATAATAAGTGGTAGATTTTTTTTATCTGTACTTATCACATTAGTATTTTGACTAATAGTGTTCGTTAATATTTAATAATGCAAAATGCTTAACGAAAATAAGATTTAGATACTTAATGTAATTTTTTTATAAGTAACAAATTTAAAATTAATACAATTTAAAAGCCACATTACATGTTAACCCTATTATAAATCAGTATAATTTTCCAATTATGATAGGAATTCACATTATATAGCAATGAAGCATATTACCCCACTTAATGGCATTGGCAATAGCAGCTATCAAATTTACTAATAATTGCCTAGTTGATGAACAATGGAAATCCCAAATGCCAAACCCAAACCACTTAGAGACCACGTCTGGGTATTCTGGCTGTGTGTGGTCTTCGTTTTTATCTAACCTTCTGATTTGTGCGGTCTTTTTCTTTTTGATGGACCTGAAAATCTTCTGCCATTAATAGGACCACAAATGCCTCTGGTCTAACCATCAATGAGATGTTTCTTCACCTTCATTTTGCACCACAAAGTAGTTGCCATCCAGGTTTAGCTTCAATTATTGAAGTCATGAATATGAGTTAGCTTTGGTCCTTGTGATCATTTAATGGCTTACTAGCAGGGCAGATGTGTAGGCATGTGATATACTCATCTACCAACTCTACGTGGGGTGAGAACTGAGAAAGATATGGGCAAGGGTTGGCAGGGGACAGGGCCACAGGGCCACAGGGCTCAGCCTCAGCCCTTCTTTGAATTTGTTCAGGAGATGTTCAGAAAACATAAAATATGTAGGCGCAAATGAATTTGATCAATTATTCCAACTTATTTTTCAATCATTGTTCTGGTTCTTATTAGCTGATGCTTCCCTGGAACTCTTTCATGATTTTGGTTTTCTGGGAACAAGTTATTAGATTTTTTTAATTCCTTTTCTGGCAACAGTAACATAATTGTTACTTGATTGTCTGACAAACGTTGCCATTTTCATTGTTTTTCTGCTTTATTTTGATCTGGATATACTTGAGTTGATCAATTGATAGTTCTTTGTTACTTATTTATCATGTTTTGCCATTAAAAACTGTGTTTTAGCTTTGTCAGAATCTTCCATAGCCTATAAGTCCAATAACAAGAATGCTAGTAAATGTTAAAGGCCAACCAGAACAGACATGGAATTTGTTAATTTTTAATATAGGAGATGGACACAAGCAAGTCCTTCTGAGAATCTGACTCAAAGCTGGGAAATTGGTCTTAGTCCTGAACTTCATATTTAGGACACACCATTGCTTCTGGGTTCAGGTCAATATTTAAAAATCCAGCCCACCATAGCTTTGCATCCGCTTTTAGATTGAAAGCTTTTGTAACTAGCTGCACTTCCAACTTCGTTTTCAGCATTTCATGAATCTTTTGTAATGCTAAATTTACACTCATTCTACCCAATTAGGCCTTATAATCATCAGGAACATGTAGATAGATACTCTATGGTTTTCTGCAATGAAATTAACAAAAACGAATATCACTTAATTTCAAGTTTCTGTGCTCCACTCCCCTTATATTTCCCTCCAAAAATTCCCTCGAAGTGAAATAAAATTTTGCAGTTCCTTATTTACCTTCCAAATTGTGATACAAACTCAATGAACTTCAAAATTTCATAAAGGTACAACCTTACAGGCCTGTTAATTGGAGAGAACTAATTCTCATACAAGCTGCACAGCTATCTCTACTACTGCTAGTCTACTACCAGTAAATGACGTAGTATAACATCATGGAAGGGGTTCTTAACCGTGAGCAAGTTTTTACCTTGCCACAAGCGGAGAAGCTGACAATCCATCTTCCGATACATCGAAAAACAAATCTTCACTCTTAGACAATGCATAAACAATATCCACCATGCTAGGCCTTTTTGTAGGGTTTTTATTCAAACAAGCAATGGCAACAGCCATTACATTCATTACACTCTCCATTGAGCAGGACTCCTCTAGTAGACGTCCATCCATCCATGCCTTCAATTTTTTCACCTTCCGCTCCTCATTCTCATCCAAAATTCCACTAACACTTGCCCACAGAAGCTTTCCTTCTTCATCAATGGCTTCCTTGCCAGATATAAGCTCAAGCAAAACCACCCCAAAGGAGAAAACGTCCATCTTTGTTGAGACCACCCCATCTGCTAGATATTCAGGTGCAATGTAACCTTGAGTGCCAACAATGTGCATTGTTATGGCATTGCAGCCTGATTTTGCTAGTCCAAAATTGGCAATTTTGGCCCTCTTGTTGGAGTCCAAGAGAATGTTGCTGCTTTTGATGTCTTTATGTACAACTCTTGGCCTTGTATGCTCATGGATGTACTGCAGACCATTTGCAACATCAACAGCAATTCTTAACCTTGTTTTCCAGTTTAACTTTTCATTCTTGTTTTCATGAAGCCAAGAGGATAGAGATCCATTTTCAATGAACTCGTATACCAGATAGCAATTTGTATCTTCAGGGTCTATGCAGAAGCCCTCCAACTTCACCAGATTTCCATGGTTTACCTTCAGATGACAGAATCAGAATCATGATTTAGTTTTTTTTTTTTCCATTCGCAAAATCTTTAATTTTGTGAAGAAATAAAACGTGGTTCCTTCCTCAGGCACATGTTACCTACTACTATGACTTTATTTCATTAAAAAAGGCAATAATCTAAGAACATCGAACAAGGGTATTAGGGTAATGATAATGACACCGGCCAAAAATCAATGATCAAAGCAATAGCAGGCAGGACATAGGTGGAGATAAACATGTAAATATTATACAAGAATATAAAATAGGATTGTCATCCGTTCCATAGTTTTGACTTCAAAATTTAGGATTTTTCATCCTATTACCATCATCCACTGATTTCATTTGATTCAAGTAGGGAATCAAAAGCTTTTTGTTCAATATTTATTGTGATTAGTGAACATTTGTAGGGCGGATTATAACACAGTCCAAAGCTAAATAAATGGGGCAAAGTCCCCCAGGGAAAATTCATCCTTGAGCCCCCCATCATTTCAGTGTTCTATGGCTCCTAATCAAATACAAATAATTTAAACTCTTTAATGGGGAGTATTAGAAACAATTTAATTTATTAATTAACGAATGAATAGACAGGTCACTTAACCTAACCATTATTTTAATAGTAATAGAAAATTAGACATTTTCTATCAGCATTTTGTTAATGAGGTCCTTCCAGTGATGTCCTTATCAGCTAAAAATGTTTTCAATCTTGCCATTAAACAACTCATTATTTCCAATTATTTCCACGTTACTAGAATTCTTTGCACATGACTCCTTGGAAAATCTTAACTGATTAGTCCTAAACAAAAATTATCACCGGAAACAACAGAAAAATTTTCCAGAAGATATGGAAATGATACCTTTTGTAAGATCTTAAGCTCCTCACAGGCATTCCACTTCATCTTCTTTATGGCATAGATATCTCCATCAATGGACCCTTTATAGACAGATCCTTGAATCAAGCAACTCTCACTGAAGTAATCAGTGGATTCTCTAAGTTCTTCAATTTTGAACACCCTGTACTTATCCAAGCAATCTGATACATCTGCCATTAAATTTTCTTCCATTCCCTTCATCACCATCCCAGGCCTATTAAACTGTAGCTTCTGCTTCTCGTCATCCCTCTCCATATCTCTTCTCTTCGACAAAACCTCTCTGTGAAGAAACACCACAAACAAGAAAATCAACAACACCCCACAAATTCCTAACCCAATTGACAATCCGATGATGACCCCTTTCCTCTCAGTCCCAGGAGAGGCTGTAGGAGCTACCTCAGGCTGAGATAATACAGGTAGTCGATTGACAGGAATAAATATGGTATCAAAAGGCTGTATGTCATTGCCGTTGACATTGGTTATAGCCTGAGTTTGAACGCCAAACCTTGAAGCAACTAATGATAAGTTGTCAGAAGGCTGAAACACATAAGAAACAAGGTAATTCACTCCATTTTGCACCTGTGTTTCATTAGGACACTTGCAAAAGATTGGAAAGACAATTATGTCACCAATTTCAAGTTGGGTAGGGATGAAAGTAGGATTGAAAACTTCAACAGATTGATAAGTGGTAAGGTTTTGAAAATTATTAGTTGACACGATATAGAAAGTATCGCCTCCTTTGATTGTGTAAGAGAGGTTGGCAGCTGATAGACTACCAAAAGTAGCGTTAATAGAGTTGCAAGAACATGTTATGGGGACAAATAGGAACTGATCAGGGATAAGAGGCGACGACGGAGAGGAAATATTGCTTGGTTCGGTTATCATGAGACGACTGACATGGAAAAGGTCCCCAATTGAAGCCAGGTCAAGGAAGTCAGGAGCAGTGGCTCGGTAAAAAGCATAGGTTTGGCATGGATAAGTGGTCTGGTTGGCTGTGCAAGCGTAGCCTGTGGTGTTTGGTAGGGCTTGGGAACGGGAACGATAGAAGAGAAAGAATAGAAGGAGACAAGAGAAAGAGACGTGGTGGGGTTTGATTCTCATCTTTGATCTGTTTCTTTCCTGGTCTGCTTGCAGCCTCAGCTGGTTGGTTTGGTTTGTAAGCGATCTGTAAATAGCCTCAAGTGTGGATACTTGGGAGAGTGAAAGTGGAATCCTCGTTGGCTTTGTTGACAATCGAGCCCCTTGGAAATAACAATACTGCTTTTCCAAAGGGTTTGGGTCCTACCACATGGTGTATGAAAAAGTATAAAACTCCACCTGGAAGAATTGAAAAGTTGATTCAGCAATCTGATGTCAGTACTATAGATATTTATTTCAATTTCTCTGTTTCTTCAAAATGACTGGTGGGTCATTATTTAAATTTTACCAGGCCACCGTGTTTGATCATTTAGGACAAAGTCTTGAATATTATAGTACAAAAAGATAAGGTTTGAATTTGATAACTCTACTGCCATGATTGGATTGAAGGAAATGCCAAAATCTGAGAGCAAAGGACTTCGAAATTCCGGGCATCTCCAAGTCAAGTCTTTGGTTGTAATTAGTTTCTCAACTGCAATTGGTGAGCATGACATTTTCGGAGCTGAAGCCTGAATGCTGAAATGCAGAAGCCAATAAGATACTTGGCGTAGGGGGAAGGTCATCAAACAAAAATCTCAATTAATTACCTCAAATCATAAACTAATACCGATGACCCTGCCAATACTGTTCATGGTTAATTTTTAAGTCATGGTGGGTTTTGGTAATGACTAATGAACTTTCAAATGTGTTAAATCTTTGGAAAATTTAAAAAGAAAAATGACATTTTGAAAGTTCAAAAGCCATATTTGTGTTGCAAGGGAAGCTTCGTATCATGGTTGAGTTGGCTTATAGGGCACTGACAGATTCTTGCTTCTAGTAGTCTGTACATTATATCAGTGTTTTACAAAGAAAGGTTGGGTGACATCATGGACACTCGAGAATAGTAGTTTGAATGTTCGAATGAATTTTCTATGCAGTGGCTCATAAAAAAGTCATCAAGTCAAAGATAAGGGAGAATTTTCTTTACAATTCTTTTACTCTAACGTTGCTATTGCTCAATCACATAAAATAATTATGTATGAATCATCTTTACCAATTAAAAATTAGTGAAAATTTTAATTATTTTATTTAAAAATGATAAATAAACTTTTGATTAAATCTATGATAAATATTTATTTAAATCAATTTTAACTTTTAATTAATTTTTTAATTAATTTATATTTAATTTAAAATTATTAAATTTCAATTATAGATTTAGTTTGAAATGCATTTATCATTCTTAGATTAAATAGTAAAAACTTTCAATGATTTTAAGTAATGGAGCCGATCTTTTTCTCCTACATAATATTATGATAGATATTATGTAATTTTAAATTATAATTGATTAATTATAATACAATAATTATAAATGATATCGGATAATTACAAAAAATTAATCCGATAAACAAAATTTCATCTTTTTTTTTTTAATTCGCAGCTCAACTTAATTGGTTCGGTTCATGCATACATCCTTAAAAGATGATATACTTTAAGGTTCAAGTCTCCTCCTAAACTTCATCTATATTTGAACCTTGTAGTTTGGAGTTGGGGTAACCATTACAAAACAGGGAAATTGCACTAATGAAGAACAAAAGGAAAGATGAAGACAAAAAGGAAAAAACTTTACCTTTCATGTTCACATAGCTATAGCTAATAATTACAATTTTCTTCGCTCAGGAGAAGTTATCTCTTTGTTATATCATCCTTCTTGATAGTGAAATCCCAGAGATCTCCACATTTCTCATTAAAATCCCATATGCTCATGGTATTGTAGTCATTGATTAACTTATCACGAGCTCCCCTTTCCATGTTATATATCTGAGGCTCAAAGTGATGGGGCTTATCCGGTTTATCCATCTCAATTATACAAAATATAGCTGTAAACACAGCAGCTCCAATGAACAAGTACTCCCCCTAACATAAAATTCATGAAACAGAAACTGTCAATCTAACTCTGTTGCCTGATTTTTGTTTTTCAAAGAATAGCTAAATGAATATTTTGAAATCAATTACTGGAACATGGAAAAACATTCCAGCAGCAATTGCAGGCAGGAAGAGCTATGAAATAAACCCTGCATAATAAGATAGATCTTCAATTCCAGTAATTTAGTCATTTTTTTAATGGCATGAAGAATCTATGTTTCCAAATTAGTTATCAAGGATCAGAGATATGTAATTGATACCTTGGAATCCTGTAGGAGGTTCTATAGCCTCAATGTCATCTGCAATTGCTCCACAAAATGTTCCTGAAATAAGGATTCGAATAGAAGTAGGAACTTGATTGATCACAATGAAACTAGACCCCCATTAGTTGATAAAACAACATCAAATTTCACTCAACTTCATATCTGAATTATGATATAATCAAAAGCAACAAAACAGAAGCATTGGAATCAACCAATATATTTACATAAGAAAAATGTATGCTAAAAGTGTAGCATCTAATCCTATATGAGGAATTTTTGAGAATCTATTACAGTATATATATAGAGACATAAATCTACACTTTTAAGATCCTTTTTCTTAGATAAAATTTTGAAATATTTGAAACAAAATTGTTAAGCATCCAATTTAGCTGTAAGTGGAGAAGTTTAACTTAAATATAAGATTACAAAAAATTAAATATTTTATTAGATGTGGGATGACACCACTTAAAAGCCCTCATCATATGTAAGAGGGATAGAAGAAGCTTATTGACAAATTTAGAAATAGCAACAACAAGGAAATCTTGACTTTGATACTATATTAAAGATCATATTTGGTATACAAGATTATAATAGGATATGATAAGATGATATTATGAATAAGATTAGATTAAATAATGTCATCTTATGTTATATTTGATGTATGTAAGAATTAAGATAAAATAATTTATTTATTTGTAAAAATTATCTTTTTTTCAAAATTTATATAATTTAAATTATTGATATAATTTTTAAAGGTATAATTGCACATGTAAGTTTAATCTCATAGATTAAAAATAATCATCTCCACTTGAAGAGGATTGAGTAATCTTATGCCAAAAGGATATTAATGCTTCTCGCAATCTCTATCTTTTTCTTTAGATATAAATGAAACATAATATAAGATAATTATCATCTTATTCTATTAATAATCTTATGCATAAAACATGACCTAAATTTTTATCTTAAAACTAATTTACTGTAAGTGAAAAGCTAACTTGAATATAAAATTATATATTTATTAGATATTTAATAATATAACTTTAATAAAAATGAATAATATATTATAAGTTAGTGTGATGTTCACAAAAAGTACACTTGTCAAGTCCTAGTTCAAATCTAATGAATAAAGACTGTAGATACCCAATTTGGTCTAGGCCCAGATCAATTACGCCTAGTTCAAATGGGTTGGTCCACTTTGTTTTTTTATTATTTTTGTATTTTATATTTTATTTTTATTCTATATTATAGATATTTTTATCTTTTATGTATTTATTATTTACTTATTTATTATTACTATTTATTAATATGTATTTATTTTATTTTGTTATTATTCATCTATTAATTAATATATTATCCTTATTATTATCTTTTTTAATTTTTATTTTTTTTATTTTATCTTTTTTTTCTTCTTCTTTTCTTCTTTCCTTTACCCGATTGGAGCTGGATTAGGATAGAAATTTGAGTGCGAGATTCAATCAGAATCCAAATTGGATTCAAAGATCGAATCCCAATCCAAAAGGGAATAGGGATTGATCAGAAACCCTTCTGATCAATCTCTATAAATATATCCACGGATCAAAGGACTGGAATACAGAAAAAGAGTTGCACAGAGAAAAAAAGGTAGACAAAGAAGAAACAGAAGCTAAAAAAAGGGTTTGGGTGTGTTAGAACAGTTCTAGGAATCGGTGAGAATTTTTTAGAATTTTTTTTGGCAAATTTTTTTTTTGGAAATTTCTGAAAAATTTTCAGACTCCGGTTGAATTTTTCGATGAAGGTTGAATTTTTCGACGACTATCCGACCAAGTTTGAAGTTTTTGACCAACTTCCCAGTTTTCGGCTACCTTTTCCAGAAATCGATCAGTTTTTCGATGAACTTTCGGTGAAAAACCTAGATTCCGACAAAATTTTTAGAATCTGGTGAATATTCAACCGGAGTTCTTCAGGTATTTTAGAGAGAAGGGAGAGAAGAGGAAGGAAGACAGAGAGAGGAAATGCTCGATTTACTGAAAAAATAAAGGAATTGACCTTTTGTACCCGCGAAAAATGACGTCGTTTTGGCGTTACTGTGTCAATAGGATCCGCGCATTTTGAAATCGGACGATCCGACCCGAGCGTCGACCCGCTTTCGACCCGCGTTCAACCCGTTTCTCCGAGCTGTTAGTCGAGCCGAGCCGAGTCGACACCCCTGAGCTGTTTTTTCGAGTCGTTTTTCTTCTTTAAGTCAAGTCGAGCCGTTTTCAGATTTTTTTTTTTGTTTATTTATTTATTTATTATTATTATTATTATATCATAATTGTTTAATATTTTTATTTTTTTAATTATTTTCATTTTCATTTTATTTATTTTGTTTTATTATTTTATTATTATTTTTTAAATAAAATTATTTTTGAAGAAAAGTTGAAAGTATCAATTTTCTTTAAGAATAAATTTTCAAAAAAGAGATTTTAAGGAAAAGTTGAAAGTATCAATTTTTCTCGAAATTAAAAGTTTTCAAAAAAATATTTTTAGGAAAAAGTTGAAAGTATCAATTTTTCTCGAAATTAAAAGTTTCCAAAAAATATTTTTGAGGAAAAGTTGAAAGTATCAATTTTTCCTTGTACAAAAGCAATCATTTTTCCTTTTTTTTATTTCCTTTGAATTTTCTTTAATGTTAAATAATCCGACGATGGAGCCTCTGCAAGAGAAACAATAGTTTTCTTGCATACTCTTGAGGTGAAGAGATTTTCTCAATTTTCTGCTAAAAGTATTAGAGTTAATTGAGAATAATTTTCAATAGTTAATCACTTGGTAAATTTTTAAGGCTTATTGGATAACACAAAATTAAGTTGGTACCATCTTTTGATGGGCGTTGTGAGGGTGCTATAACCTTCCTCACGCGTAATCGAACTCCCAAACCCTGCTCTGGTTAGTAAACCTGAACCTATTCTTTTAGAGACCTTTAAACTTAGGTGTTCCCTGAAGGGATAAATTCTTTAGGTGGTCAATCGCACTGAGATAAAAAAGATTGATAGCGACTTCTTCAAGTCAATGTCTAGCGATAGATCCCTAGATCTAGACGTTATGACAGCTTGACGACTTCGCTGGGGACTCTGAGAGTCAAGCCAACAAAT